TCACTAATTTTGTTCCCACACGCTGGACACGCTCAAGTGATTTAGTATCCTTTATCAGACATGGGCTAGCTGCTTGGATACAGTATTCTAAGTATGGCCTTACATAGGCGGGATATAAAATTCGAAACATCTCGTCAAAGCATTTAAATGCTCGGCAAAGTGACCATAGCGCATGATAACCTTTGGGAGCAGCCGCATTGCAATGCGTAGTAGTTTTCAAGTCGTGACTTATAGTTACTCCTAAGTCTTTATGTTATTGAACGTCAGGAAGAGATATACCATTAATGATATACTGGTAACTATTACCGTGCCCAATGTGCATGAGCATGGAATTAACTTCCAAGCCCCAATCATGAGCCCATCTAACTAATTCGTCTGAGTCAGCTTGCAGATGACAACGACTGGCCTCACTCCTTATTTTTCTCCAGATTTTGACATCATCCTCAAACAATAATGTCGACTACTTAAGCAATAAAGATAATTCATTGACATAAAAAAGGAAAAGTAAAGGGCCTAAGATGATGCCTTGGGGTACACCACTCTTGACCGGTTTCTATTCCGATAGCTTTCCATTGACCCTCACTCTCTGTATGCGGTCACATAAGAAGTTTCCTATCCATTCCTATATGGCACCTGTTATTTCTAAGCTCGAGAGCTTCTGCATAAAACCTAGGTGTGAAACTTTGTCGAACGCTTTGTTAAAATCTATGAATATCACGTCGACAGACACGCCGTTGTCTAAGGTGGCTGTTCAATCCTCTCTCTCAATGAGTAAGTTAGTTAAGCATGAACGCTCGTTAAGAAGCATATGTTGCTCGGGAGTTAAAAGATTATGCGAATCTATATGACTCAGTAACTTAACCTGAATTATCTTTTCAAGTAACTTAACGACTATCCTGGTCAGGCTGACAGGCCTGTAGTTAGATACGATCCGTCTCTGACCATCCTTAAAAAGAGGACTTACTATGGCGTCTTCCCAGTCTCTAGGCAGTTGAATAGGACATGTTGAAGAGCGTCGTGAGCGGTCTTGAGATAATGTCCACAAGCGATGACAGCAAACAAGGATGTAACCCATCGGGCTCCGGTAGTTTACAAGGTTTGAGGTTAATTATCAATGGAAGAACAATATCCTCAGTCACGTGTATAGATCCTATGGCTGGTATCTCGTTGTCAATGGGACAAGTAGTTGTAACAATACACGTAGAGTAGACTTCACTGAAGTAATTTGCAGATGTCTCAGCTTTCTCTAGATCAGATTCAGCCAATTAATCTGAATTTTCGTTTAACAGTAACGGGGGGATATCATCACTACGTTTTGTCCGCCTTTTAACGTACGAAAACAGTCGCTTCGGACAGCTACGGCTATCGTATGCCAACTGTCGTTCGTAAGTGGTACGGGATTTAGCTATGGTCTTTTTACATATATTCCGGATTCTTTTGTACTCGCACTTAAGTGATGCTTGACCCGTTAACAAGAATAAGTCCCAGCCTTTCGGGTTTCCTTATTAATCCATGGAGGGCGATGTGATAGCTTACGTGCTGACCATGGGATAAATGGTTGAGTTACGGATTCGAAGGTAGACTTAAACCTATTCCGTGCATCATCGATCGATCAATTAGCATCGACCGACCAATCAATCGAGATAGAATAATGATGTTTGATACTTTGGGGTCCAGCACAATTAAAAATAAAAGTCGTAATTTGCAGAAAAGGCAAACACTGTCATGATCATTCCAATATAATATTAAGTGACTAATTATTAAATCTACCGAAGCAAAATTTTTGGACCAAAATTCCTTGTTTGCAATACTCAAGTTTTCAAGGTCACATCGACTGCGAAGAGTTGAAACGCAAAGAGTTTATTGTAATTTTACATATTTGGTTTTTCTTTTATAATAACTTAGTTTACATTATTTTTCCTCTAAACATTTTTCTAGTTAACATAAATATTAAGGCCCATGCATCCCAGACTTTTTCCCGGTTAATAATACAGGTTTTCTCCACTGATATGTGTGAGTATACTCCCGTATGTGTTTCTCTGTCCATATCAAACTTACTCTAGATCCCTCGAACACTTCATGGCAGCACAATCCCAGCCTAAGTAAAAGCCAATTTTACCACCGATCTTAAAGTCGCGATAGCTATGTAAACAGATATATTGTACTGAGGATGTGATATTTTTGCTTGTGAAAAGATTATCACGATTATTCTTCATTTATTGGGAAGTAAGAATAAGGAACAGTGCGACAAAAGCTCTGTATCTTATCTGTTGATTCAAACATTCGTACTTCAACAGCGCCTATGATGGAGAACGTCTAAATGATTTATTGTCATATATATATATATATATATATATACATATATATATATATATCGGTAGTGAAATTGTCTTGTCGTTGGTTCAACGCACTGTTCACTCCGTATTTTTAGGGGTCTTGTGTAACCAATGATATTTATGATGGTTAATGAGACTTATAAGGTCTATAGACCTTGTCACTGGTCGTCTGATGATAGTTTTAAGGGTACACAATAAGTCTAGGGTACTTTTAATTTACTGTGTTACTCAAATCTATGTAACTGATCTGGTTGAAACATCGAAATTTCTAACTGCTCCATTTTTCACACGCTCTATTCTACTGTTTTATCAATTAAGCATTTTAAATACTAAACTTTCCTTCGTGTATAGATCACGTCACTGATATGCACCAGTGCAATAAAATAACAAGTTCCTCAAAACTACTCATAACCGTATTTCAATCCTGCTTTAAGCCGTGAAACTCTTCGGTCAATTGACTTTATGTGACAGGACTTAATTGTACTCATGGATGTATTTAGTGTTAAGTTGCGCACAACACTCGAGTGTCAAACTAGTTTTTGTGGTACTTATAGTGTTGTTTCGCCTTATATGTCATGCACTAGTTTGGAGTCCCCCAAAATGCACTTTTCGACCAACGTGTATAGAGAACTCGGCCTGAATGTTTTTGTTCAACTGGTCTGATCAAGAAATTCATGAGGCAAGGCAATCTCTGGTTTTTTGGATTCTGCAAACAGCTTAAATAATAGTTTCACTAAGTTTTTTTTTTAAATCGAAGTTAAAAAACTTGAAAAAATTCGTTGCAAAGTCTAGTTTATTACATTACTTTTACAACTTTGGGCGAAGATGTTCCTCTCTCGGTTGCCTGCACTTTTGAGGAGCACTCCTTATTGAGGAGCGTTAAGAAGAAACTGAATTAGCAGTGGTTTCGGCGTAGGACTTTGACCTCAGATTTCAGAAAACAACTGCTTTTTTACCAGTTGTAGGTCTTTTGGCTTCAAAATTTTAAACTCTATCACCAGCAGCGAAAGTCTACAAGCGAGATATTTTATTTCTAGGGTTAATCTTTTCTAAAGCCTTCATTCTATCGACAGAAGGCAGAATCGCTGGGAAGAAATGCCTTACCTCGATTCAACCCCTATACAGCCAGTAAAGCTTTACTTTCGGACCTTTAGTTTACCACTTTTAGATCAACCGATCGCTGGCCAACATGCTTGAAATAGTGGATTCTGAAAAAGTCAGTGTTCCAGCTAATGTAGCTCACTTGATTCATCACGATATTCAAATCAGATCACTACGCCAATGTATCAGCTACTTTTGGTGTTCGTTGCTTTCAAAAAACTATGTTTCAGGATTATTGTTAAAGCTATAGCTATATAGAGTATTTTAGTTATTTTTAATCTAGTTCTTCAGTGATTTTTAATGTTTCCATTACATAAGTACCAGTAAAAATCCCTTTAACGATACAGCTACAGAGTAATTAGCTCGAAATATTCTCTAAAGTCATCAGTTTCCCATTTATTCAGTGCTTAGTTTATTCCGGTGAATACTTAATGCAGGTGATTCATTATTATTCTAGTCTTCATGTAAAGAGGTGGCTCAGTAGCCAGGATGTTCAACTTTAGGATGCTAATTTGAAGGTTTAAACCCTACTACACCTTTGGTTTGACCAGGCGGATAGTGTCACCAGCCCTCACGCTTGTAGTGTGGACCAAAGCCAAGTACACGAATCTGTACCTGTTAAATCCGTTATTAAGAAGCAAAGGAAATGTCCGTCTTTATTTACATTATAAAAATCAGATACTTATGCTTAACTACAAGATAATAACAATATTGAGTTAAATTACTGCTTATAAAAAATTACCTTATGAGTTGGTTCCAGGTCATACTCAACAACGTTGATAATGTTGTTTACTTTGTAAATTTTACGATGAATCTACATCTTTTTCATAATTATTGTTACTATCAATTCTTAGAGAATCAAAAGTTCGGTAAAGTTTAGATCGAATAATTGTATTTAGTGTTTATTGTGACAAAATGCTGTTTTGGTAAGCATATAGGGACGCGAATTGGGTATAGTTCTTGACTCCTAAAACATGCAAATGTACAGAAGTGTTTCACAATCTTTTAACTAATATTTTGCAAGTCCAAAAAATGGCCGACTTATTATTCTTGTCAATGGTTTTATACGAACTTTATATGTTGAGTTAAATTGTAGGGAAATAAATTGTTTGACATTTCCGGTACCTTATTTTTCATCAAAGGCTAGACAAACTTCTTGACAGTATTATTAACTAACATTTTTGTATATGAGAAACCGTTAAGTGTCATTTATTTGTAGCCGGCCTACACACCTTTAATTTTGTAATACAACAGAAATATAAAGTACTGTAAGGACGAAAGCAAGAGTATCGGGTTATTAGTCGACTGGAAGATTATATAGCTCAGTGTTATCATTGTTGATAATTATTTGGTTTTTGTATTACTATTTTCTGATTGATTAAGATTATCTGTATCATATTTATTTAAGATTTCCAGATTAATTCAGTCTTGTAACTTATTCAGATTTTACATAAGTTATACTTCCTTTTTTTGTTTTATTTTTCAGATAATTTTTGGAATTTTTCCGTATTATATACTAGTTTACTTGAATTGTACTTATTATCCTGGTAAATGACATCTTGAATGAATTCAGTGAACGATTCAAATAAAATTTACCATGAACGTCAATCTAAAATGTTTTGTGCATTGCATGCACTGAATAATGTATTTCAAGATAAAATATTTTCAAAACATTGCTTAGATAAAATAGCTGATAATCTTAATAGCAATTCATTTATTAATCCACATAGAAATGTATTTGGACTGGGGAATTATGATGCAAATGTACTAGTTATTGCTCTTCAACAATGTGGTTATGATATTGTTTGGTGTGATAAACGCAAAACAATAGCTGCGCATAATCTAAATTTCGATAATATTTTTGGATATATACTGAACACATTTTCTAATCGTCGTATTTTTAATTTAACATTGCCATATTCAGGAAGTCATTGGATTGGTTTACGAAAATTAGAGCATGATGATAAATATTCATATTTTAATTTAGATTCTAAATTATGCAAACCGGTTGTAGTTGCATCAACGGATGATGAATTCGTTAATTATTTAGAAGGACGTCTTAGAGAGTATCCAGAGACTCAACTTTTATTTGTCGTATCCAATGAAGTGCTTCGACAACGATCTTGGACGCATAATAAACAATAAGCACAGTTAAGGACGATCTAATTTTTTGTACGTTCACAGTGATATTTTTTGATCAATAAAATACACTTGCTTAAAAAGTCCTTTTTTTCTTAATTGTTGTATTTATAACAATTAACAGCTATGGACGTGAACAATCTGTTTGATTAATGTTAGATTTCAAACATTAACGCCAATCAACACTTGACGCTTATCCTGAACTTATGATCATCCATTCAAAAAAATCAGGCTGTTTTTAGAGTGAGTACTTGATTTGTCGAATTAATTTATACCCTTTTTTAATTTCTACAACAAAATTCTGTTTATTAACTTACATTTTCCAAGGCTCTTTGTGGATCAAACCTACTGGTGATTGAAATAATTTAAGACGGAGACCCTTTGAATCATTGAAAAAGAAAGAAAGACAATGTAGAAAAGATAATTTCTACATGAAATCACTAACTCAAGCTGTGTAGTCGTATCTATAGCGATTCAGCAGATATAAATGTCTACTAAAAAAACAAAATGATTAGTTTAGTGTCCAAAACCTTCACGCATCACAAGCTGGTTGTGCGACGATCTAAAAGTTAAAGGCAAGCAACAATTAGCAAACGAAGGTAGGGGAACTAAGTGTTCACTTTACAAATATAAATAAATGCCATCATCAAATGGTTAGCTAAAATTATATGACTAGTCAGAAATCAACTCAATAGATACATCACTTCTGATTCGCTTGATTATGTTGATTCAATGTCAAGTGTCAACGTAACTGTAAAGTAGATGACATCACTAGATATTGCAGCTATTTCCACAAATGTACCTCAAACGGAAACAACCTGCCTACTATGTCACGATATTGAATACAACAAATTCGATGTTGGTGTTCCAATACACTATTTCAAGAAACTACTCCGATGCACTCCCAACGTCCAATTTCAATTTAACAATAATTCCTATAAACTAACGGCGTAGCGATGGCGTTACCACTCGGTTCACTTCTAGCCGACTATATGTATAATTCCACTACGGGTACTTGGAGGAGAATAAAAATAATTTTTTGATACTTTTACTCAATAAAAAAATATAATTTTTTTCTCATCTAGTTTTATTCATTCTCATGTGTATCTTTTTGTTCTCCGATTAGTTTTTTGTTTGCTTTCTTATCATGTTAATCTCATCGTCTAAATTGGCCAAATGAAAATGTCAATTTTACTAACTAGTATACACGCACCCTAAAATCATTGATTTTTATAATAATATTTGTTTGGTTATTCTCTATATTGCTAACATTATCATTTTTTTAGTAAATAAATAGGTATTAACTCAAATATTTTCTAGATTATTGAAAACAAAACAAAAAAGAAATAAAGATTTCCACCAGTTTAAACAAGTTACCTACTGATATATATAGTAAGGTAACATGTATGATGATACTCTAAATAATAATAAATGAAATTATGATAAAAAAAGGATAATACTCCATTTTTATTCAGAAATTGATTAGTGAATCAGTCATATGAAGAGTTTATTTTAATAATAACCTTTTTTTATTATTTTTGGATAATGTACAGAGTCAGTTAAACATGCAAATGAGAAAAGATTGTTTCGATAAAGTCTTTAATATGGTTTACTTTTTAGGATATAAACAAGACAAAACTACCCTTAATAAAACAAATAACTAGGTAGAACAGAACAAAATGTTTTTGAACTAAAGATAAGTATATCAGCCTTGAAGGAATAGATTGATCAAAGGTAAATATTGTAGAGTTCTGTCATTAAAAATATTGAATTAAATTATGATGTATTTTAAAAATATTCAGTTAATTGATTCTAAATTTTAGTATAGGTTACATAATGAATTAATGTCAAGTGAAAGACTATTAGAAATGCATGTGGTAGTAGACAAATATTTCGTTCCTTAACGATATGCACTTCAGATTTTTAAATGCTTTGATGAGCACATTATCTTTATATCACTCAGTTAGAATCCATCAAAATACGTATCATATTTTAAATTTTGAAGCTCATTGTTAATAGTGTATAAACTAATTATCAACTGATAATGATCATAAACATAATTGTTTAATTTCTCTACACAATTTCGACAACTATTCAGTCATTATACAGATCAGCACTTTTTTTATTTTTGGAAGTATACAAATCAGTACTTAACTGTCTATTATTGTAACTATAAGTTAATCCTTTTTCAAGAGAGAAAGATTGTTTTTAATCATTTAGTTAAGAAATAGTTCTTTTAGTAATCATTGTAATCACCTTATCTGATAAAATCAGAAGTTAAAACAAAAATAACTAAGGATGACAGCCTAATACATCTGTTCCAGACAATGGGGGATGTGTCGCTCAATTTCGTGGATCGGTTGAAGTTAGACATTAACACCGTTGGATGCCTGCTCAGTGGTCTAGTGGTTAAGTGATCGCGCGAGACTGATAGGTCCTGGGTTCGAGTCTCGCGAGGCGGGATAGTGGATGCGCACTGCTGAGGAGTCCCACAATAAGATGAAACGGCCGTCCAGTGCTTCCAGGTTTTCCATGATGGTCTAGCTTCAATCGACTCATGATTTCAACTATAAAATAATACAATAATTTAAGCATCTGCCATATATTTCATTCATATTATCCTTAAGCAGAATAAAATGAATTTATCAAATTTTGTTAAGTTTGCTTCATTTGCTGCTCAGACTGTGTCATTTTTCTAACTCAAAATTCTAAATAAACTTGTTTATAGCTACATAGCATTCAAATAATACTAAAGAAGGTTGAGTAGAGTTTTTTAAATATACATAGAAACCCACATGAAGGGTCTGGGTCGTTAATGTAATAGCGAAAAAACAGTAGAATAGAAATTGAGTTGTTGACTAATATAATAATAGAGCGCAAGTTGACGATAACTATGAATCCGATTAATTAAACTCAGTCAGTCGAAAATAAGATAACGAACTGGTAAAAGATGATATAATGTAATCAAACTAGGGAACAGGTTGAAAAAATTTCGTAACAAAATAATAGTTAAATTACTGGGTGATGGAATAACTGGCAACTGCTTTCATTTATACACATGAATCAGGATCCAAGTGTTTGACAACAACAGTTTCAGCAAATCGAGGGACCTAGAGCTTATTTTTTAATTACTTTTTTTTGAATGATTTTAAAGTATCTACCTATACTTAGGTGCCTGGAAATCGTATTCCTGAAATTCTTCATTTGTCTTTAGTGAAAAGGTCTTGAAACGTGTTCGTGGAATTTGAAGTTGAGTCGTCTCTGACAATGTAACTGCCCGGGAAACTATACGCAATTACTTGCAGCAGTAACATGTGAAGGGTGCCTATCGACCATCGACTGCCTGATAAAATAAGTTTTTTTATACGAAATAACCAGTCCTAATATATGGTATATTTTGGTCGGTGCCATGTTCAGCTTTCTGCTGGTCTTCCTTTACGTACCATCTATCTTTGAATTCGGAGTGAATAAAAATTGATTTACTGTAAGTTGTGGTTCCCTTAGACTTTTCACACTAGATGTGTTATCGGCAAAACTTTGCACTTCAAGGAGATCCTATAGATAATGTCGCATTTTTTGAGTTAAATAGTTCAGTTTTAAAGCTGTGTTATCATCCTAGGCTTCCATTTAAAGTGGGTACTGTGGATGTTATCTAGAATGACAATGAAAACTTCAAAACTAACCTATACATCTAAGGGAATGTCATTCGATCGAAATTTAATCATGAATTTTATTTTTTTAAATATCTTTTTGTTATTCATTTTCCTTTTAGTTGTCTAACGAATTCAACGGTTTTTCGAAATGCTTTTGATTATTTTTCTCATCTTTATTTATTCATGTTTGGGAGTGGTTCATTTACCATATTTTCCGATTTATCAAAACTTTTCTCATCTTTCTATCAATCAACATCTAGTAACTCATTTGAATTTTCATATATATATATATATATAATCATTGTATTTCTTCTTCGGTTTAGTGTGACTACTTTTATCTGAGGTCAGTAACAGAAAAACAAGAGCCACGCTTGAAATTTTCATTCTTATATGTAAACATTAGAGAGAGACATTAACCTTTATGTTAATATGCGTAATCTGTTGAATCTTTGGTTAATATCAACATGGAGATTGATGAGAAATTAAATTTAGCTATTTTTGATAAATAATGAACTACATTTTAGTTAGTGGTGTACATGTATTGGAAAGCATAGGTTTTTACCTAATGTGAATCATATTATGTAATGTTTCTTTTGGTTGTTTTCTTAATACAGATGTATTTAACAGTTGTCTTTCAGTTCAATAGTGTTAGTTTAAAAAGTCACTCATGATTAATGATTTATAGCTAGTTGATATAATTAAACTTCAAATAGTGCTACTGAACATGTGAAAAGTACTATGTGACCTTCCTTCTTAACGTAGCATAGATATACCATGGATTTAATTGAAAAGATCCAACAAACTAAAAGGTTATCAATAATTGTCAAGAATGAATGTATGATAATTAAAAATTAGTGAGCATGGTAGTTCCACTCTTACAGTAATAAATCACATTATCTATAGCTCAAAAATATATCGATCAAATACAAACCCCTTTCATTTATTGCTGTCACATAATTATTTCAGATTTTATGGTAATCAATGCTGAAGAACGAAGCCCTTATAACCTACAACTAAATGTTTCCAAAGCCATTGTCCTTACATTATGACATTAAGGCTTCAGTAATTGACTTGGATTAAATTAGTGTTTCCTATGATATCCGATAGATCAATTAAGACAAAATAATGTACAATATTACAATTTATACTGTTGTATGGAATAGATTTTCTAAACGTGTTCTTAAGTATAAATTCACTAAGTCTTAAAATATTCTAATATATTAGTCCCCATATATAAGTAATGGATTATCAATACCATTCATCTAACTTAAGAAGAGAGTTCCTAGATTTGTTTGCGAAAAATAACATTCACTTCAGAGAATTTTCACTATATATATATATATATATATATATATATATATATATATGTAGTATAACTACTCAGTAA